GAAACCCCAGAAACCGACTCGAGCCGGGCCCTGTGTATGCTGCGTCATGTCAACACTTGACTGCCCCCTCCCCCTCCCTATAGAAAATGGATTCTCTTCATTTGGAATTTTTTGTAGCCTCTGCCCCACAGAAATGGGGAACCGCTGCTGATGTATACATAAATTATTTACAAATTCTATTCCAATGTTCTCAATTTTTGCTATCGGTCCTTACACGCACGTGAGCATATGTACATCAGAAGCCTCATAGGCCAGCCAAAAGCTTCAATCACTCACTCCTCCCATCCGCCCGCGTGGATTACGCATAGAAACGTGTCCTCTTGGAAGTGTGGGAGATCCTTGGTCTGAGACATTTCTGGAGCTAGTTGACCTCCATGTGGTACCGCCAGCAGAGGACGAATCGCTAAGTAAAATTGAGCTAAAAGTGATGGGAAGTTCAGTCTAGTGCATAAAAGTGTAACAGCAAAGACTCCCAATGAAGAGAGGAAAATTCAATGGTGGGGATCTGCACCAACGAAGAGATCAGCGAATTTGTCAAGAAAAAACCTACGATGAAATGGGTGCAAAATGATGGTTGTTAGGAATCATGACAGGCCGCTCTTCTCTGCTACGTAGTGGTCTATGTCTGCTCCTACTTGCGGGACTGAAACAATCTTTTTTGTTTGGATAAGTACTGTCTTGCAGACGTTAGAGTAACAATAAGAGTTTCCGAGAAAGTCATTGCTTTACATGATAAAATGCTGAGAAGGAAACAAAGCTTCCCTGCGCGAGCGAGCTTTCTTAGCAGAATCCTCGTGCCCAGAACTACCATGATCACTGGGAATCATATCTTTTGTGTCGTTACTAGGCTTCCTTCTACCTTCTTCGGCAATCTTGCCTGGTGACGCCGGAGGTCTCTTTTCCTTGGGTCTCGTGACTGTATCATTTTTGGTCGGCGGATTTGCACCTCCACCATTGTAAGGTTTTGAATTGTCGCTATCTTGGCTCCGAGGTGCATCTCTTTTTAACGGTTCGGTATTTTCGGCACGTTTTGGAGGTGATGGAATTCTCCTCTGCTCGTTCATCTTATTATCGCGCAAGGGAGACCTGCGTATGAATTGTTTAGAATCATTCAGAGAGTTAAAACTTCGTTCCTAAGTAGTCT